AAACATTCACTTGTATTTGATTCGGCTGTGCTGGCTCTCTTGCCGCACAGGCTTCCTCTAGTTGTGGTGAGCGGGGGCCACTCTTGGCTGCGGTGCTGAGGCTTCTCATTGCGGTGGCTTCTCTGGTTGCGGACCTCGGGCTCCACGACCCTTGGGCTTCAGTAGTTGTGGCGCAGGGGCTCAACAGGTTTGGCTCCCAGGCTCTAGAGCACAGGGTCGGCCGCTGGGGAGCACAGGCTTAGTTGCTTCGTGGGATGTGGGGTCTTCCCGGACCAGGGATCGAACCTGTGTCTCCTGCACTGACAGTGGATTCCTCACCGCTGAACCACTAGGGAAGCCCACCTTTAATTCTTATAAAGCAACGTTTCTAGCAATGCGTTCTTCCCCTTTTTTGGTGGTGGTGGCAGAGGGCAATGTCTTTATTTCCTCTTTGTTTTGACGGATCGGGGATTCTTGGTTGACTGTTTAAATTCCTGCAATACTTTGAATATGTCAGCTCATTGCCTCTGGCTTCCATTCCTGTTATTTGTCCTTTTGTTATTTTTGTTTTGTTCCTCTGTACATGGTGAGTTGTTTTTCTCTAGCTTCTTTCAAGAGTTTGTCTTTCAGCAGGTTGGCTATGAAGGGTCTAGGTATAGGTCTTCTTGTGTTTAGCCTCCTTGGATTTGCCCGTCGTTTTCCATCCCATTAGGAAGGTTTTGAAGATTTCTTCATATATTTTCCCTTCTCCTTTCTCTTTTCTCCTCATGGCATGCCTGTTACACATCAGTTGTTGTACCTGATGTTGCTGTATGTATGGATTTCTGAGGCTCTGTTCATTTTTCATTCTCTCTTCATTCTGTGCTTCACATTGGATACTTTCTACTGCTCTATCTTCAAGTTCAGATTCTTTCTTCTGTCTTCCTGAGTCTACTATTTAGTCCCTCTAGTTAATTTTTCATTTGTTGTTATACTTTACAACTCCAGAATTTGTGGTAAAATATACATAACATAAGCTACCATTTTAACAGGTTTTAAAAGCACAGTTCAGTAGCATTAAGTGCATTCACTTTGTTTTGCAACCGTCGACAGTGTCCATCCCCAACACTCTTTCATCATCCCAGACTGAAACCCTACGCCCATTAAACAGTGACTCCCTATTTCCTCCTCCCTACAGCCCCTGGTAACCCCTCCTCTTCTTTCTGTGTCTCTGAATTTGGTAATTCTAGGATACTTCATATCAGTGGAACCACATCGTATTTCCCATTTTGTATCTGACACAATGTGTTACTTCCGTATCTTCAGGGGTGAAGGCTCTCTTAGAAGAGAGTCTGCATTCATCTTGCTGTATCCTCCCGTGGCTATGGAAGTACTTGTTCGTGCGGGCAAGAATGCTGTCGGCTTTTCTCCTAATTCAGGGCCTGGATGTCTTTGTTTCTCTCTTCACCCCAAAAGGCCAGTCGCAGAATCAGCATGTTTGGGATCAGGCCCCTTTTCCACCTCCTCTGAGCTGCCATCTGTCTCGTCTCCTAGGAGCTGCTAATGGGCTGAGGCCACTGGGTGGACCTCAGTCCGCTGAGTTGAGGCTCCCTGAGCGTTCTGCCCCTCTACCAACCACAGGGAACCCCATGTTTTGGGAGATTTTGCTTACTGAAATACCGCATTTATGAAGATCTTCTGTCCCCATTATTTATTATTATTAACCGCCCATTGGAGCTTTCAACCAGCACGAGGCAGCCAGTACCCCTTCCTGGTTAGGTAGATCTTAGTTATCAGGAAAAAACAGCATGGTGAGCTTTTGGCACCCAACTGAGACACATGTAAAATTTCTAGAGTACTGAAAATAGTGGGCATTGTATTTTAATGTCCACTATAGTTTTGTGTCCATTAATATTTCTGTGCCTCCTGGGGTGGCCTGGGCTTACTTTCCTGAGATCCGCCCAGCGGGCTCACTCTGGGTGACCCCTGCAGCTCAGGGACACACGCGCGTGGAGCTGAGCTTGGAGCCAGATTTCTTGGGGCCCAAGGTTGTGCTCCTGTCATTCAATGAGACTGATCTCTAAACCTTTATACCCAGTCTTCCCATGCCCCCAAACCATCAGATGTGTTCCACTCTCTCCAGGAACATACCGTTTCCTGGCCCAACACTTTCAAAGTTTCCCTGTCCTCCCCCAGACAGCTGCTGTGCCCCTCCCAACACTCCTGCTGTCTCTAGAGTGACTGCAAATGCCGGGAGCTGACTAGGGGCGCCAGTCATGGTGTCCCAGCTGGAGCGTCCATCTCTCCGCCAGAGGCTTCCGCCCTTCATCGTCTGCACACTTGTGTGGCCCTTAGCACTCTCAGCCTCAGCATGTGGATCAGGGCAGGCCTGAGTTTTACCCTTCTTGTGCCCAAGCTGAGGAGCCAGCATTTTTGTTTAAATTTATTATTTATTTGGCTGCACCAGGTCTTAGCTGTGGCACGTGGGGTCTTCTAGTTACAGCACGCAGGATCTTTAGTTGGGGCACGTGAACTCTTTAGTTTCTGCATGTGGGATCTAGTTCCTTGACTGGGGATCAAACCCAGGTTCCCTGCATTGGGAGCTCGGACTCTTGGCCAGTGGACCACCAGGGAAGTCCAGGGAGCCAGCACTGGTGTGAAGGGTCACCTCCCGCTCAGCACTTCTCCAGGCCTCTCAGCACAGCCTGGCGCTGAGCCTTGCACGTCAGGGACGTGGGGCGCATCCTCCCTGTGGGCGTCATCACTTGTTGCTGCCTTCTTGTTTTCTGTTTCGGGAGGGAGGGGTGGGCCCATGTTAGATAGCAGAACCCTGGCTCTTTAGTCTGTGCCTTATTATCCCAAAGTTAATACCACTGGATGTTTTACACTTTTGTTTATTAAAACATGGATGAAGGAAATGTCAGTCCCCAGCAGACGAAGGCTCTGTAGGTATCAGGCAGGTTCCCGGAGGCAGCAGCGGGATCTTCCCAATCCTCTTGTGACCTTCCCGGGAACCACGGGCCGGGCTGGCTGGGCCCAGGGGCGGCGCCGGGTCCACACTCGGCGCTGACAGGAGGCGGGAGGAGGGCCCAGGCCTCTGTGGGGACCAGCACGCCCCGCCCAGGAGAGCCGCGGCCTCCCCCGGGCCCTGAACCTCCCTCCTCTCTCCCTTCTAGAACACCTAGCTTGGGGTGTTCAGGCTGTTTTATCTCATTTTTGAAAAGGCCCCCTTTGCTTTGCTGCACATCCTCAAGAGGTGGACGCGGCACTCTTCAAGTCAACTGAGGCCAGGGCCCCCCCGCCTCTCCTGCGGCCACGCCTTTCTCTGCAGATGTTGTTCCTGCTGCAGAGAAACTGAGGCAGATGGCTGAAGGCACAAGTGTGAGCTCCCCGCCCCTGCCACCTCTTCGTGCCCCAAGTTAATGTTCCAAAGGCGTAAAGTCGCCAGGTCATTCGGAGAAGCTAAAACTGCTCCCTGAGAGGGCCTGAAGCGATCTCTGAAAATGGTTTTTGCTAGTCACTTGACCCAGAGAACACCACAAATCGTGTCAACTCACAAGGTTCAGATCTTCGTGTTCATGTCAAGACCCGTGAAACCGCCCAGCCCGTCGAGGGTACGTGGACCCAAAACCCGCCCAGGCTGGGAACGGTGCCCCTGGGTCACGCTCCACGGGGGGCTCGCCTGACAAGGCTCCCAGAACCAGAGCGAGATGCTGGGCCAATGTGACGCCCGGTGACTGGTCTACCAGCGGGGAGGAGGATTTCAACAGAAAGGGGAAAGGATACATCTGACTGAAGCGCTGTGCTCACCAGGCTGTGTGTCCACTGACTCCTCAGTGAGTCAGCGAAGGCTGCTTCGTGACGGGGGACGGACACAGCGGCGAGCGCAGCCCAGGCAGGGCTTGGAGGGCCAGGCTCCTGCCTTGGCAGCCTCACGTGTGTGGTGGGGGCCTCGCGTGTGAAATAGCAGCCTCACGTGTGTCATGGCAGCCTCGTGTGTGTAATGGCAGCCTCGTGTGTGAAACGGGCTGTGTGTCTTCCTGACGTGTCCTTAGACAAGAGCCCTGTTCAGGTAGAGACCTAAAGGGGGGCCTGTGGGGATGGGGGAGTGACATTTAACATGTCACAGTTTGGTGGTGGAGAGGAAACTCGCGTCACCCACCCAGCCCCTGAAGAAACGCCAGGGCAAGCACAGGACCTCGCACCACTTGTAGGCGTGTGGCATTTTATTTATTGTAGAAAAGTGTAGAGGAACAATCTGGTCAAAGATGGATCCAATTCTTGCTAGGTAAGCAGACACCAGCCACGGTGGACATTCTTCCTGGACCGAACGTCGTCCCCACCGTCTCCTGCCCTTCCCGGCCAGGATGGTGCTGAACCCCGCAGCAGGGTCGCTGGGCTGAGGCTTTGGGGCCAGACGGCCACACGCCTAGCCCCACGGGGCCCTTCTGCACAGGCAGTTCCTGGGGACGGGGAGAGGGGCTCTCAAATTGTGCATGAACTGGAGGGTTAAGGCTCAAAACTGGAGCAGGTACGAAAGCGTTCATACCCCTGCTTCTCAGACGTCTTAGCGAGTTCCTCCTTGGTCACCAGCGACAAATGCAATTAGCTGCGCTGCAGGAACCGGATGCTAGCCCAGCCCTGCTCACCTGCCACTCTTGCCTTGGAAACACCAGCAGGGGAATCAGGAAGCTCTTTCCTTGAATAAACTGGTGGTTGAGAATAAACTCTCCATCGCCTGTGAGCAGGCCCCTGCCGCTGGCCGGGGAGGGGCCCGTGAGCCCAGAAGACAGCAGCACCATGAGGGGTCGCAGATAAGCTTAAGGTCACATGAGTCCTGTGTTCCCTGGAAGCCCCCCCACGGCGGGGAAGGCCAGTTCCTGGAGCCGAGGGCCCCGATGTCAGCGGCTGCACGCACTGCCTGTGCGTTTGAGGGGGAGAGGAGACCCGGAGCGAGCAGGAGCGTCCGCTGTTGGAAGGGAGGAGCCGGGAGCAGAGGCCGGCCCCGCAGGCACTCCTCACCCCGTGACTGTCGGTGCCAGGCTGGATGCTGCCAGCCTTCCGCGTCCTACAGAGGCTGGCCAGCCCGCCCTTGCCGCGGCTCGATGCCTGGTTTCTGTCAGGGACAGGAGGGCAGCTCCCCAGCTCCTCCTCTGCCAGCTCGGACCACCGCGCCGCCAGCGGGGCCCCGGGCATCTCAGCTGGCCACGCGGTGGCCCCTGGAGCCGTGGCAGGTCAACCTCCCCGAAGCTGTTCTCAGAGAAGGGGACCGAGGCAGGGGCCCCGAAACCAGCAACAGTCTCGGTCTCTCTGCTTCTCGGATCACGGTTTTGCCGCCGTCTTTGAGTTCCACGGACCCGCAGACCTCACACTCTGACTTTCCTTCCTAAGCAGCGCCTCGGTGCGAGGAGACGGGGTGCCCGGCGTGTGCCCGGCCAGGTGCAGGGTGGAGACAGCGCGAGGATCCCCCTCCCCGCTCCTGCTCCCGGCCCTCCTCTGCGCCAGTGGCTGCAGGCTCATGGGGCCAGGGGCGAGCGCGCGCTGCCGCCTGCCGACCACCCCGCCTCCGAGCGTGGGCCGGGGCGGCCAGGACGACCCTGCTTGGGTGTAGGAAGACCTCGTGGTACATGCTGTACCCGTCATTGCCTTTTAGGTTCGGGGTGGGGAGAGGGGGCTGCGGCCACAGCCAGGGTAATAAATACTGAACGGGGTGCTGTGGCCCGCGGCCCAATGTGTCATGCGGAACCGGAACACATCGAGGGGAAGCAAAAAGCCACTTGACTCCAGCGCTGGTCTCCTGTGCCTGCTCATCGTGGTGGTTTCGTGTGTGACGGGCCGCTCTGGCCCTCAGCTCCAGAGGCAGGGCGGGGGTGGGCAGGCAGCTCTTCCTACGTGGACGGCGAGTCCATCGTCGAGAGGATCCGAACGACTTCTGCTCGCTGGGTGGGTGAGATGTGCTGCGTCATGTGGACGATGGAATCCATGGCGACCTCTGGGTTGGCCTGGACCAAGCTGGAAGGGGAAATTGGGGGTGGTGAGAGAGAGAGAGAGACAGCCGTGCCTGGGTCAGCGGAGTTTAGAACTGCCGAGAACCCACTCCCAGGGTCCGCTGTGGATCCGGCAGCCCCTGCCTCACCTTGTCCTGTCTTCCTACTGGAGACAGGCCCCCCACAGCACGGTCGGTACCAGATGAACTGCCAACGCTCCGCTATGTCAAAAAGTGCGGAAGTAACTTAAGCCAAAACTGAGATGGGGGCACGTCACAAAGATAGTGGGCCCTGCGTGAAGCTGCTCCCACTGGCTAAACCTGGGACACATGGGGCATCAAAAATGAGTTAAAGTCATTGAAAAGACAGAGGACATTCCCTGGTCTATACCAATAATGAATACAGAATAAATGGAGGCGGAGAGAGGCCTTTTGCTGGCGGGAGAATCGGGGTGGTCACAGGTGACTGTGGAGCACATGCAGGAGTTGGAACGTTGTCATTTTGCAACTTTGCTGTAAAGGCTGGATCAGGCATGACTCACCCCTGAGTGCTAAATGCAAGCAGTTCTGATGAGCAGCAATCTGCCTGGCCTGTAAGTGTCTCTCCACAGACTGGTTAGTAGGTTCGAGGAGAAAGATCAGGAGTTGGACAGTGGGGGAGTTGAGCAACAGCTCGACCAGGTGACGGAAGCCAACGTGGGGGCTGGCAGGTGACGTCACGTGCCCTCAGGTGTGGTGCCCCGTGGGGCCCCACCATCAAGGACGTGACATCCGGGCTGCGAATGCACAGCCTGAATCTAATCATGAGCAGACATCGGGCAAACTCAAAACGAGCAGGGGTCTACAAAGGGTGGTTTAGATAAAAAGCCGTGGTGTTCAACTTATGAAAATTATTTTACCATGGTTATGTCAGGGCATAGCCCTGATAGCAAAGGCTATACTGAAGTATTGGGGGTAAAGGGCCATGACAGGCCATCATAGATGTAACTTATCTTTAAATGGTTCCGAAAAAGAAATACACATAAGGGTGTGCTTACTTTTTTTATATATAAAACACACACAAATGATACAGCAAATCAAGAATGGGAAGAAGGGATAGTTCGGGAGTTTGGGATGGACATGTACATATGCTTTACTAAAAGTGGATAACCAGCAGGGACCTCCTCATAGCACAGGAAACTCTGCTCCATGTTATGCGCAGCGTGGAAGGGAAGGGGTCTGGGGGACCATGGATACATGTGCATGTACGGCTGAGTCCCTCTGCTGTTCTCCTGAAACTATCATAACGTTGTTAAGTGGCTGTACTCCAATATAAAATAAAACAAGTTAAAAAAAAACCAAAAATGATACAGCAAATGAGGCAAAATGTAACTAGCAGGCACGTCTGGGTTCAGATTTGTTCTCTGTGCTGTGTTTAGTTTTGCAGTTTTTCTGTAAGTGAAACGTAGTCCAAATGACAAGTTCAGAAAAATGTCCCCTGCAGTCTCTGCCACCCAGCCCGTGGAGGAGACAGGAGCCTCTAGAACACAGCTCCCTCTCGGCTGGGGGAGGGGAGGAGGTGGTTTCCTAGGAAACTAGGATGCAATGGGCTTTCCTCCCCAGCCGTTCATCCAGTTTAAGGATCTGCATCTGGAGCTAACAGTTGGGCACGGTGAGCTCAGCCACTACCGCTAAGTGCCCCTGGGGAGCAGGCGCTGAGCGAGCCCTGTGCTCCAGGACTCTGTTCTCATCTGATCAGCGTCTCAAACTGAAGGGCCCGCAAAGACCACATGGCATCGTCACCCCGCTGTTTGTGCGGACGTCGCTCGCTCCCCGGAAGTGAGCCCACTGCTGCTGAGGGGCCCCCTCCCTGGGGTCTCACCTGCGGATCTGCTTGAGGACGTAGTCTCTGCTGATGTACTTGATGTTCTCCTCGATCACCGAGCGGACGCCGTCTTCCTCTGTCAGCTGTTTCTCCAGCCACTCCACCAGATCCTTGTTGTTGTCCCAAACATAGGCCTGCGAACAGATGACGCCCGGTCAGACGCCAGGGCCCCGCCCAGGCCGGACACCCCGACTGATCTACATCTGCGAGGGCCACTGCAGAAGTGTCCTCAGTGTAAAAGAGTCATCCCCAGTTCCTCCGTGACTGCTGGCTTTGTAGGAGGCGGCGGAAACAGGCCTCAGGACAGGAGCTGCCCTCACCCCCCAGCCAGCTTTCTGATGTGACACGCACGCTTGGAGAACCCGCCTGGGTCTGCCCAGAGGCGTCCGTGCTCACATGGACGCTGATGCCGCTGTTTTGTCCCTGACTGTTTAGCCAAGAGCTGAATGGGCGTGAAACACGTGCGGGATGTCCTGCTGGCTAAGACTCTGCGCTCCTGATGCAGGGGGCCCGGGTTCTATCCCTGGTTGGGGAACTAGATCTCATATGCCACAACTAAGAGTTCGAATGCCAAAGTCAGGATCCCAAGTGCTGCAGCTAAGACCCAGGGCAGCCAAATAAACAAACAGATAAATAAATGCTGAATAAAGAAAGAAAGCAACTTGTGCTTTTTGAGGAGCTGAGACACGATTCCTAAGCATAAGCGGAGGCCGAGGCGGCCAGAGGCGAGGGGCGTGCTGCCACTGGGTCAGAAACGTACACCCCGGTTTTTCCCGAAGGGTCAGGACGTCCATCGCCCTGAAAATCTCAACACACCACCTCTCACCTCCCCCCTGTCAAATCATTTAGCTGAGCATTTCCCAGGTAGTTGATTCCATAATAATTCAGGAGTGTGTTAGAAACCTAATCGCCTTCTCCTGGCTCTCGTCTCCTCTCATTTTCTTTACAAATCATTTAGGAATCGTTTTGTTAATGGTTTCCGGAAAACCAAGCACTGCCATTAGGGCTCATTCATATTTATGTCATTTTGTTTGGGTAATTAAACACAAAGCTCGTCATTTAAAGGTGCGCTATCCTCCTCTGTTATCACTAACCGAGTCAAAGTCAGAATGACAATGAGTTTGGCGCTGTAATTTAATAGGTGGGTGCATTAGGGAGCTCGGGAGGTGGCCCAGGAAGCCTGGATACCCACAGAGGTGCCTACACCGCGGCTGGGACGCAGGGGGCCTGCCAAGTGCAGAGGGCGCATCCCCACCACACCCGCTAGAGGTGGCATGCAGGAGGCCGGGAGCCGCGCTGCTTCCTAAGGCTCCACTCCCGGCCTTTAAAAATAAGGGTCTCTTTCCAGACTCTCCCGTCCCCATCTCTGCCTTGGCCGGTGAGTCTGGGGGGGCTAGTTGTTTATTATATACCTTGTAACTGACTTCCACGTTTCTAACGAGTCTTAAGGAGTCCTTCACAGTGGAATGATTAAGGAGCCCCAGGATTAAGGATCAGCGAGGTGCCGTTTCTAGTTCTTTCGTCCATTTCCTTTGCTGGTCCCAAATTGCCCATCCCTGTTTGTAATCAATCACTGGTGAAAGGGTCAGTTCTCCTGGTCCAGGCGGGTGGCCAGGACAGGGCAAGGCTGGGGGGGGGGAGTCGTCCCCCTGCTCCACGCGCGGGCAGGACGCTGGCACCCCGAGGCCGACAGCAGGCGAGTATTTTGTTCTGGGAAAAAGGAGGCACCACACCACTCTAATCAACAAGGGTGGGGGTGGCGATGGTCCCCGCGGCTCAGTGATCTTAGCGTCGCATGCCAGCCCCCGTCCACCCCACTTGCGTATGGCGTGCCAACGTGCCCATCTCCACCTTGGTAATTTGGACTTCTGCACATGCCCTTACTTAGGAGGATTTAGGGGGAGGAAAAAAGAAAACAATGCATGCTTCTTGGGTTTCAGAATGGGGGGGGGGTGGGGAAACCTAGATTTACCCAAGAATTCCAAAGCCTTTAGTTTAGGAGAATATTTAATACTCTTATTAATCATTTTTAATCCGTTTGCTTTTAATTAAGAAACAGCATGATGCTTTCCTATCAACATATGCCAGGGAGCAGATTAATTGTGGCTTAAGATAACTCTCCTTGATTGGTGTAATGTATTAGCTAACGAGATGCCTGCTTTTAATGATGCTTAGACACTGCACTGGCAGGCCCGCTGCCCTCCAGAGAACATGGCTCTCCCGTCCCCGCCTGCAGCCAGAGTACGCTAGGTGTTCAAACACTGGAAAAGTCCCCAGATGGAATTAAAGCAACACGTCCCACGGGCTGGAAAATGTAGGCCCCCTTATATGAATGGTTTGCTGGTCACTCAAAATATGAGTGGACAACGACCCCCAACTCCAGCCCTGGTCAAGTGTCAACTGTAGCGCTGAGCACACAGCCGCCACGGGATCGCGATCCTGGTCAACAGCGTTTTTAGAATCAACAAACGCAGGCACTGCAGCCCCACGGGTTCTTTTTATAACAGACCTGGGAGGGTTTGCTCTGCTATTGGGAGCACGCTTCCCCCACCCAGGGCCAGGGAGTCTGCAGTTGCTCGTTTGCCCTCCCGGAACAGAGCAGCGAGGCTTGTCACTCCACCCAGGACGGGCCGACACTCTGCTGTCATCATCTCCCTCCTTGAAATTATGAAAACGTGGCTGGTTACTCCCACTGTGGGTTTCAAGCACCTGAGACATGCTGGGCTGCTCATCTCATGACAGGCCAGGGCCCGTATGTTACCTGCCTGCACTCATCCCAATCGGGAAGTTTTAATACCAGTCAGGTATCAGTGATTAAAGGTTGGAGCAGCATTGCCATACAGGACGTGTTCAGCAGGCACTTTATCCGGCTGTGCATCCGTGGGTCAGTATCTCTGGCACGACTCGGCTCACTAACTGTGTGTAGTAATTAGTCTATCTTACAAAATCTAAATGACCTGTTGGGAAAGTTTCATTCCCAATGTATCAGATTGCTGTTAAGGCCTCCTTACTCAGTGGCGGAGCAGGGCCTGGGGCTGAGCGGGCCGCGGGCTGATGAATGTGAGCCTGAAGCCCAGGCCCCGCAGATAACTCACCTTACGAGCAGCCTGGAGACATCTCTGCAAAGCGTTTTTTTCCCTGAGGCTTTGGAAGCAGTAGCCCCGTGGGCTGGGGTGGCCTGCTGGACCTCACTTCTGGAGAGCTGCCCCAGCCCCAGCCCTGCTGCCCAGCGTCTACCTTACCTCCTCCCTTCCTGGCTCTAAATCGGAAGTTTGAGGCCTGAGACTTGTTCAACGGGAAGCCTGGGGACAGTAGAAATCAGATGACCCTATCAGTGGTGCTTCTTCCTCTACCGACTTCATGAGGGCCTCCACTGGCCATTCGTCTCACTTGGAAACCCAGAAGAAGAATGGATTTCTAGCTTCCTGGCTCGTAAGGGAGCGCCGTGGACAGATTCGGGCCAAGTCAGGGGCTTCTCTGGTGGCTCAGAGGTGAAGAATCCGCCTGCCAATGCAGGGGACTCAGGTTTGTTCCCTGAGTCGGGACGACCCCCTGGAGAAAGAACTGGCAAACCACTCCAGTGTTCCCGCCGGGGAAATGGCACGGACAGAGGAACCTGGCGGGCTACAGTCCATGGGGTCACAAAGAGTCGGACACGACTGAGCGACTCGGCAACAGAAAGAAGTCAGAGAACGGCCTGAGAGCGCTCGGGGCACGCGGCTCCCACCACCATTCTGAGCTACGCGGTCACTGAGCCCGCCTGCTAACATGCCATGCTGAGGGGGAGGAGGAAGCCGAGCGCCAGACAGTCCTTACAACGTCGTTAAAAATGCCCCGAACCTTGTGAAGCAAACAACATCCCTATTTTACACGTGAGGAAAGGGAGGGTTAAGTACGTCTGAGCCAGCAAATGGCAAAGTGGGATCCAAAAAGTGTTAAGATTCCAGAAAACACATCCTTCTCAATTTCTTTTACTGGAGCTTGAATGGGGGGAGCTACAGGGTGGGTGGGAAGTCAGCCTGTCTGAAAAACCACACACCTTCAACTGTGGATCTGAGAGTCAGCAGAGGAAATGTGCCCATGAGACATACTTGTGCCTTGTTCTGACAGCCAGATTGAACCTAAGCTCTTATTTTTTCAGGGAACTGTGGCGATGCTTCTCTTCTGCCTGCAGTCAAACTATGAACTATAAACCCTACTATTTCCTACAGTGGGACTGCCCCTGTGGATTCAAACAGAGTCCCATAACTCATGGTAACAGATTCCTCTAAGGGAGACAAAAGAATTCTACTCCTCAGTTATAACACATCACGGTGTCTTCAGACTTGCTGTCCCAGAATCTCTTTTTTCAGGACTAAGATTTAAAACAAAGAAATTTCTATGAGAAGGAACACACGGCATGGCCCACAGACGTCTACGCTAAGTGTCCTTCCTTACCTGTAACCACAGTAAGGATCAGAGGGGCCAAGCCAGGCTCTAGACCTGGAGTGACCACAGCACACCACACGCACCCCCGTTTGAAGAACCGAGGGAAGGTGCGGGTTTTGAGATGCCCCCTTATTCCCAAGCACCGAGCAGGCGTGGCCCCCCCGAGGCAGCCACATGGCTTTTCAGCAGGGCGACACACTCTGCTCTCCAGGGCGCTGCAGATTTTATCGCCTCCCTCCCGCTAACCCGAGCTCTGCCGAGCCCACAGGATCCAGAAGGAGGCTTCAAAGCCACACAGAGAGGTCACCCGCGCTTCCTCTCTGTCCCCTGCCCTGAGGGCTCCAGGGGACGCGGACTTCTGTAGATGGGGGGAGCGGTACATTTGGGTCCTGGGGCCTCTGGTCTCCCCTCCTGAGTCAGGGTGTCTTCTGCACTTGACCTTCAGCCAGGAGCGTGTGCACACAGGTGACTGTTCCCTCCATCGACAAGGGAGGCGCGACCTGCTTCCCCAACGGGAGCCCCCAGGGGGCGGGAGAGGGGGGCGCCCCTGCACCAGGCCGTGCGCGTCTGTCAGTGACTCACGCGAGAGGAAGGCCCTCTCCCGGCGGCCCGTGCACACTCCATTTACCTGGCCGGCCACTCCGAACTGCAGAACAACCTCTTATTTTACACTTGCGTGGCTTTCAATGCCAACTTCCGCGCGAAGCTGCCAGTGGCCACTGACAGAATCGTCTCACTCAATTATGATGCCACGGACTGACCTGAACCTGAACCACGAGTCACAGAAGGCTGTGCTCCCCGGCTGCACAGCTGAAATATTTATCCAAGGCAGCTTTTCAGTCGTAAAGAAATGGGGGGGACTTAACACAGAGGGGAATCTTAGAATCAGCCCGACCCAAGGACTTTAAAACTGACAGCAGGCCTTGGAACTGCTTCCTAGGAACAGTCAGAGGAGACCTCAAGCGACACTTCCCAGGAGGAGGCCGGCCTGCCTGCCACCCGGCCCTCCAACAGCCTGCAGCCGTGCTCTAAGCCGGCAGTTACCACCTGTCTTCCATCATGCGGCTACCAGGAAGAGAGAAGTGTATTTCCAGCACATAACTACCCATATCCTGATAAGATGTATATATGATGTTTATGATTCAATCCAGATACTCACTATGAATAAAGGTTGATTGCTTTTACTTAGTAAGAATAAACAGAAATAAAAGTTCCAACTTTTCCTGCCCATCCTTCCGTGGACGGTCTTATGCAGCCCACGGTTCCAGAGGCAGTTCCATGGTTCCTGGCTGTCCCGGCTGCAACCCCTGAGAGTATCGCTGGCGACACGGGGTCCTGAACTCAGCCCCGGGGCAGGATAGCTGGGGACGCAGCCTCAGCGGGCACTGCGCCTGCCCTGCCCTGCCCTGCCCCGTGCGGTCACCCCTGGGAGAGGCCTGGCCCGCGGTTCCCTGCAGGGTGGACCTGAGATCCGAAGACCTTAGTGCCCGTGTCAGGGTCCCCTGCTGTCCGGCTCCTGCCCCCTCAGCACCGCCCTGGAGGGGGTGGCACGCATCACAGCAGCCCCTTCCGCCTGTGAGACACTCAGTGGCTCCCGCAGAGCCCAGGACAGAGCCCCGCTTCCCCGCACCCCCCACCATCCTGAAGAGCCCACGGTGTCCCACGCACAGCACTCCCGCCATCAGGCTTGGCACGCGCAGCTCCTGCTGCCTGAAACGCTCCCCCAGTGCTCCAGCCCAGCCTTCCCTCTGCTTCCTCCTACTCTGCTCCCAGGTCTCTGCTGAGACATCACTTCTAGAAATCTTCCCACAGAGCGGGTCAGGCTCTGCGCTTTGCGAAGCCCTGGGTCTGCCATAGTTGACGTCGGCCACTCCTGTCCGTGACCTCTTGATGGCTCAGCCGCCCTGCCTTGGTGGTGGGCTCAGCAAGGACGGGAGCAATGTCTGCTTCTCTCCCTGGCCGGTATATACTGATCAGAAGCCTTCAGGAAGGTTTGCTGAATGAGCTGCAAGGAATGCCTGATTGCCTGTCTCACAAGCCGTCAGGACATGTTACGGCGGGGAGGACACAGGCTGAGGCCCGTACCCCCCTTCCCCTCCCGAGGCCCAGAGACTCTCAGATGCCAAGCCGGGCAGTGCTGGGGGTGGGGGGGTGAGGAACGGCATGAAGGTTCCTCCGGGGGCGCCCACCTACCTTCACGGTTCCCTCCACCTCCACAAACCAGCGCCTTAACATGGCCTGGATCTGGCCGTCGGTCAGCTCGGGGTTGGCGTTGTGGATTTTTTTCTTGACCAGGTCCTCCAGCAACAGACGCCTCAGCCGCCAGTAGAAGAAGGTGCGTGAAGTCTTCCAATCCAGGATGTCCTACCCCGGGACAACAGTGAGCTCAGTCACCCCAGCTCGGTGCCCAGGCCAGAGGCACTCCATGGGCGCAAACCCTACTCTCCAGCGAGTGCCTCGGAGACCTGAGAGCCGGCCGTGAGCACCCAGCCCCTGTAGACATCTCCCCAGTTCAGAGCCACCGCCCAGCGCGCCCCTGACCCCAGCACCGTGCAGGGATGGCCTGGCTGGTGGTAGGCCCGCAAGTGCTGGAGACATTCCGGGGGAGGGGGGTGTCTCGAATTCCCAGATAGCCAGAGTGTGGAACTGGTTTTGAGTAGACAGCTCAACTTTGCATGCAGGTTTTGGGTTTCCTTGCTGGTTTACCTTCCTTCCAGATGGTAAAGAATCTGCCTACAATGCAGGAGACCTGGGTTCGATCCCTGGGTTGGGAAGATCCCTGGAGGAGGACATGGCAACCCACTCCAGGACCGCTGGGGTGGCTGTTCCCAGGGGACTGTGTGGGGCTCAGTTTGCCGCCAGTAAAATGGAGCCTGCCTCCTGAGGAGTCCCCGGGAACCTAAATCATGAACTGTTTTAGGATGATAACGGGCATAGTGAAGGGAAGAGGTATCCTCTCCAGGAGAGAACAGTCTCCTCCACGCACAGCTGACAGCTCCCGACGAGGGAGCCCGTGTGCGCGAGCGCGTCTCTGACAAGCCGGTCTCAGAAGCGGAGGCCGCCTACTCACGTTAATGACTCCCTTCTCCTGCATGCGGCCCGGGGTGTCGTGCAAGTCCGCAAACTGCACGGCCACCTGGTGGTAGATGGGAAGGAGGAACTCCTCCCGCTCCTTCAGCTTGCTCTCCAGCTCCTTCCGCTCGGCCGCACTGAGCTCCGGGGTGCCTGCGAGGAGACAGACTGTCAGGGGCGGGGGGCCAGGAGCCCTCCTCGGGAGCGGCCATGGTCTTGGGGGCTCGGAGGCCCGGCTCTCCGCTGTCTTCGTTGCCTCTGCTGATAACTGGACCCTGCGGATACCAGACCTGCAGTGGGGCCCTTCTCGGTGGGGGTGACAGTCCTACAAGCAGCCTCTGGGGGGCCCACTCCCCAAGCAGGTGCCAACCACCTCCTGGAGGCCTCTCCCCACCTCACTGACAGTGGGCCCCTGGTCCCCACAAAGGACACTGCGCGCCCTGTGAGGAGCCCCAGAAGGGCTGCCCCGCCCCGAACATGGACCAGCTGGGACACCCTCCACCTCCACACACAGGCCAGCAGCGCTTCCCTCCCCATGTCCGGTCACCTACCCACCCCGAGGACCTGCCGTCTCCTCAAAGCTGGGAGCTGCCTGGCTTCACAGCTCTAAACTCACATGTGGATACTCTTAACCTGAAATCAGTTAGAATCCACCCCAGTGGGAGCCTAAAGCACATGTCTCATGCCGGCTCGGTGGATTAGCCCGCCTCCTCGTCTCCTGCTTGGATTTATGGCCAGAGCCAACCCCTGACCACCGTGACAGACACTCTAGTTCTTAGGCTAAAAGGAGAGGAGGAGAAAAGAGAAAGGCAGGGGACTTCCCTGGTGGTCCAGTGGCTGAGACCCTGTGCTCCCAACGCAGGGGGCCCAGGTTTGATCCCTGGTCAGGGAACTAGATCCCGCATGCCGCAGCTAAGACCCACCCAGCACAGCCTAATACATAAAAGACAGTCCACAAACCCCATCTGGATCAGCAAACTTAAAAGCACATGGCACCCTCACTCAATAGATGAGACCGTGGAATTCCTTATAACAAGGAGCCTCCCGCCCCCACTCAACAGTATCTCAGGAGAGGAGCTGCTCCACTGTACTTTTTTCCCTAATGACTCTCAGAATGCAACATGCAATCAATACCAAAAATTTACCTGCCTGCCTAGCAAGGAGGCGTAAGTCTAGCTGAAGGAGCAACAGGTGACAGCCCCTGGTGTTGGCGACAACCTCAAGTGCTTGGTCACCAAAGCTGACAGACAACTGCATGACCACAGGTGATAGCATGCAGAAGAGAAAGGTCTGTTTCAAGCATGTCTGTCTGGGACGGGCCTCGCTTTTTATGCCACTGTGAATCACATGCCATAAACAGCCTTGGCTGCCGAGCGAGCTGTGAGTATCATCCATAAACACATGTTAATACAACAGGGGTGGAACTCTAGTACCTAGCTTCGGTTTTATGAGGTTTTTGGATACCCGAGTCCACTTTTTTTTTTTAAACCCATCACTACCTTGAGGCTGTGATGAGAAGTGGGGAGGGCAATCCTTCCTTGGGCTCTGACACTGACCGATCACACTGGGCCCCTGACCCTTCAGCAGCCTTCTTTCCAAAGCAGGTACACGGCATGACAACAGCGGGCCCCCCACTGTGAGACGAGATGGAGGCCCATTCATTCCAGCTGGACCAGTCTGGAGAATTCCTGGGAGGAGAGCTGACCAGCTTCTTCTGAGATGAGATGGTCGCAGGTATAATACCCTTGATAGGGAAGCAAAGATCTTTTCTTTTCCAATAAAAAGAACCAAGAGACTCCTTGGGGAAATGGTTGATTCCAGGGCTGGGGCAGGAGAAATATTAAGATGAACCTGGAACGTACTGTCACAGAAAGTGGGAAAGCACTCAAAAACTGGCCGGGCATGCAACAAGGACGCAGGAGGGACTTCCCTGGCGGTCCAGTGGTTACGGTCCTGTGCCTCTGATGCAGGGGGCGCAAGTTTGACCCTTGATCAAGGAACCAAGACGTCACATGCTGTGTGGCCAAAAGAAAACAAAGAACTTCTTAAAAAAAAAAAAAAAAAGACACAAGAGCCAGTGTGAAGGTGTTCTGGCAGGCTAAATCTGGGACAATTTGAGCATCGGGCTGAATATTTATGGAACTAAGTAAGAACCTGTAAGTCACCCTGACACACGTAATTAAATGGAAGAGAAGGGAAAAGAAAGCCCTCCCTCTCCCCAGACCAACAACTAATAGAGAAGGAATGGCAGAGTTAGAAAATCACCATTTTACAGCCATCACAGTCATTGATTCTGCCAAGAATTATCAATAGATACTAAAACTGTGCGTGAGCATTTGACGAGGAACAGGATATTTACATAGTCTCAAAGTATCTCCTTACAAATTACTTACTAATTACAAAGGGGGAAGATGACAACGCTACAGTGAACAAAACCTTAAACAAGTCATCAAAGCTGACCAGCGCCGAGATCGGGACAAGCTGACGTCACGTGCCTCCTGAGGAAATGTCCTGAGGAGGACATGACATCACTTTTGCAATATTCCTGCCAAAAATGCATAATCTGAATCTAACCCCAGGGAAATGTAAGACAGACCCAAATTGCGGAACATGCTACAGAAAGTGACCTGGACTTTCTAAACAATGTCAAGATCATGAAAGACAAAGAAAGGCCAAAGAACTATCCCAGATTAAAGGAGACAAAATCATGGATGATAAATTGCAACACATGCTCTGAGATTAGATCTCAGATCTGGACACCCACCCCTCCCAAAAAAAGAGCTATAAGGCTGTAAAGGACATTATGAGGACAGCTGGTAAAACTTTAATATGAATCATGGATTAGACAGTAGTACTGTATCAATGTTATAGCTTCTGACTTTAATAGATGTATTTTGCTTATGTAAGAGAAAGTCTGTGTTCTTAGAAACACACGCTGAATATGTATGGACAAAGGAGCGTGATGTCTACAAATGATCTCAGACGGTTGAAAGAAAACGTGTACGTGTGTGGGGAGAGTGAGCGAGGCAGCACGTGCAAGTGAAAATGGTAAAGCAAGTCAGACAAGATGGCAACAGGAGGTGAATCTGAGAACAGGGCATCAGAAGTTCACGGTACCATTCTTGTAACTTTTCTATAAAATTTCGTCAAATGGAAAAAATTAGAAAAATAAGTGCCACTAAAAAAAAAAAGTTTATCTTCGCCCCCTAGTGCGTACAGTTAACCAAAGCTAATATATACAGGACACTAAGTGCTTTTCATCCATTGACCTGTTTAATCCTTACAACGACTTGATGAGGTTGGCATTCCTATTATCCTCATCTTACAGGTGAGGAAACCGAGGCATTGCTTATTTATGTAACTTACTGAGGCCACAGAGCTAGATGGGGCCAAGCCAGGCCCCGCTGGGCTCCTGAAGCTTATGCACATTGTGTTGTGTGTGTTCCTGGCTTATGTGTACATGTGTTTTGGCAGTGGTATCCCTTAAAACTTTAACAAAGGCTAAATCAGAGGATGGCAGCATCCTGCCTGATAAAGCTGAGGTGCCACCTCAGTCCCATTCCACAACCAGACCAAGACAACACGGCCAATAAACCCCACTCTGTATGTGAGTGGCCAGGATGTCGCCCCCTGTTACAGGCATACATACCTAGAGAATACTTATGGATAAAAATGCCAAAACAAGTACAAAAACATCAAAACATAATATCAAAGGTCACTGATCACAAATCACCATGAGGAATATAATAATGAAAAAGTTTGAAAATGCAATAAAGCGAGATATACCTGCAATTGTATTTGTTATGGTGAAATCAAATAATGCTCTAAAGCAGGAGTGCACACTACAGGGAAGTCGTTGGTGAAAAAGAGTCAATTGATGCAGCAGACCTGACTTTTGTCTTATTTTAAGAAATGGCCACAGCTGCCCCAGCCTTCAGCAGCCACCACTCTGATCATTCCTTGGCCATCAGCATTAAGGCAAGACCCTCCACCAGCAAAAAGATTATGATTCACTGAAGGTGCTCAGATAAATGGTAATCACTTTTTAGCACTGAAGTATTTTAAAATTAGGGTGTGTACATAGTTTTATAAGATAGTATAATGCTATTGCACACTTAGCAGACAACAGTATAGTACAAGCATAACTCTTCTATGAATCGGGAAACCAAATAAGTCATGGGACTCACTTTATTGCAATACTCACTTTATTGTGGTGGTCTGGAACTGTGGCTCAGCAGTCAAGAATCTGCCTGCCAATGCAGGGGACAGGGGTTAGATGCCTGGGTCGGGAAGATCCCCTGAGGGAGGAAATGGTAACCCACTCCAGTACGCTTGCCTGCAAAATCCCACAGACAGAGGAGCCTGGTGGGCTACAGTCCATGGCTCTAGAGAGCAGGACATGACTTGGGGACCACACAACTGGAGCTGAACTCACAATACCCCTGCGGCACTACGAGACCAGCACAGATGGCAGGGCCGTGCACATGGCTGAATAGGGCCTTCCAGACCCTCACAGCATTCCCCCTCTGGGTCAACGACATCCATACAGATATGTGCCCCGTGTGTAATGCACACCATCTATGGAGCACTTCCCGTGGGCCAGGCGCTGCACTTCATGATTCCAGGCTCACACAGCTCGTGAGGAACCACAGCTCAGACCCGGGTCTGGTCAGCAGCTCACACCACACCTGCCAGCAGACCACCTCAGCGTTACTGAACACCTTCCAAGTTGCTTCAGGCAGACCGTCTCTAATCCTTATGCTAACCCAAACTTATAGACAGGGTATGAGGATACCAAGATCTGAAATGTGACAGTGACTTGCCCAACGGCACCCAGCTCTTAGGTAGAGAAGTCAGGACTTACACTTGGCTCTGGCTGTCTCGGAAGTCTGTACGGTAAATAGTACTGAAAGCGGCTAAGCGGTGGCCACAGGAGGGCAATTGGCTGAGAATCTGGTCCAGTGTTAGGCGGAGTTAAGAGCACAAAGCTCAGCGTTGGGTGCAGAGTGGGAGGACTTCTGGGCTTAGGAACAGGCCATTCTGGGAACGAGGCCTTGGAGGGATAACTGGTCCTTTACCAGCTGGAGGGACACAGGCTAGTTCCCAGACTTAACAAAATTTTCATCTACCCAGTCAAGCTATTCTAGAGCACT